TTGATTCTCTTTGTAATTACATGTTGTCTTATGTGTGATTATTTGGGAATTGATCTCTACACTGGTTTTTCTATATTAATTGCATGTCTATGTGTGGTTGATTGAGAATCTAGTGATGGCTAGACATGGTTTTTATTAAATGGGTTGTCAATTAATTTGATGGATTATTCTTATGCTTGATGGGTTATTCTACAATTTAATTTATGTTTGTAGGTTGGTAGACAATCTATACTTGAGTTGATATTTCATGGCTTATTATTGCAAATTCCATGATTCTCTAAATTGATGTGTGCTACAATTGTGACTAGTTGATGGGTCATGCTTAGAATTGATGGGTTGTGCTACACTTAATTTATTTGTCGATTAGGTAGACAATTCATTCTTTAATTTGATGGTTCATGCTTAATATTGCAATTGGTAGTCGCATTTTGTTCACAAGAATATTTTTCACAAATTAGTTGAAAGTGTGTGGTTTGGTGAACAAGCTTGGTGGTAATTCCAATACACCCCAAGACCTCACTTCTCATCTCTTAAATCCCTATCTCAATTTAGTTTATTTTAATTGCATTTTAATTAATTGAATTTTAGTATAATCAAACAATCAATCTCTCCTTTGCAATCTTGTGATCCACTAGAGTCGAAGTTAAATTCTAACACGTATAATGTAATACCCCTAATTTCAAAAGGATAGTCCTGGTATTTAATTTTTCAATTTATGTTTTAATTGACTTATTTTTGAATTATTTGACGTACTTGACTTATTTGTGTTATTTAAATTTATTCTTTGGGTTACTTGTTTTCTTTGATTTATTAAATTGTTGAATTCTCAGATTTATTTAGCTTTCATTAAGTGCTATATCTTTGTGACTGATTTTATTATCTGTTTAATTGTTAATATTGCTTAAATTGTTTATTTAATTTTGTTGTTTTTTTTAATTGATTTATTTGTAATTGTTTTAATTATTTTAGAGGCAACTTAACTGTTTTTAATTATTAGGGTTTTTGTTAATTTCATCGTGTTTTATTCTGAGCCGACCTGTGAGTGGTTTAGGATTAAGGTTAGGGTTTCAACTTAAGCCTATAAATACATATGTTTACGTCTGCTAAGGGTTTTTGTAAACCCTATTCACCATATTCACGTATACAGTGATACAGAGGGTTGTGAGGGCAGAGAAACAGAGAGTGAGTAATTTACAGTCACGTATACAGTGATACAAAGGGTTGTGAGGGCAGAGAAACAGAGAGTGAGTAATTTACAGAGAGGGCTTAGGAAGGCAGAGTAAGGAAAACTAAAACTCAGAGACGTGGATTCAGTATTTCAACTTTGAAACTTAAGGCAAGTCTCTGTTCCACTCTATCCCTATAATCTGTGTTCTATGCATGTTAGGAAGACTCCAGGGATTAAACTAAGTTTTAATTACATCTTTTAAACATGTTTAATCAGAATATTGAAGCATTGAATAAATCCAGTTTCAATTGTTTTAACAGTTCAGTGTTGAACCTTATTATCGTTGCTTTAAAAGTTGATGTTTAATTAAATTCTAAGTTGTAGAATTCTACCTTGTGATTAATCTGGGATGAGGATGGGACCTTAATACCTGTAATATAACTATATTAAAGGTCTAGAAACCACCGGGGTCACAATACAGGGGAAACGGCTCTTAAGGGTGTGAGAGACGGCTCTCAAAAGGGGGGAGCCGCCTCCCACAAAGCTAGAGCCGGCTCTCTAGGGTTGAGAGCCGGCTCTCAACAGCCTAGAGCCGGCTCCCAAGGGTGGGGAGCCGGCTCCCCTTGAATGGAGAAGGCTCTCCAAGTTTCAGAGCCTTCTCTCTCTTTTGTTTTTGCGCGTACTGAGTTTTAATGGACTGTGTGGCTGAGACTGAGTTTCTGAAACTGTTTCAAGGCTACTGAATGATGTAATACACTGCTTAAGACTTATATATGAATTGAGAAGTAAGCTTATATCCAAGAATTTGGGATGGAATTAGCCTAGGTTTTAAAATGAACCTGTACGGGGTAAGGTTTGACATAAATTGGTAATTACTCAATGTTTTAGTAAGTTGGTTTCTCTGCATGTCTTGGAGTTATAAATCATGTTTTGCAGCTGTATTATAAGCATACTGTTGTTTAATAATATGCATGCTTAGTGGGGATTAACTGATGATTAAATCTGTTATAAATTGTATCTACTATGACACTGTTCGGAGGAGTTGAGTGTATAGTTTTATTTTGCCATATTAGTGGACGGTAATTGGGATTCAAATTCTTATATTGGATGCATAATTTAGTTATACACATGTTAAAATGTAATTATGCAACTTTTGGAGTATGGTTGATTAGTATCTGATACTGTTTTCATCAACTGTGTTATCTGGAGGAGCTAAATGTACAGTCTTTTTATTTATAACAAGAACTGTGATGGGATATCTAAATGTTATATTGGATGCATATATTGGTTGTGTACATGCTAAACTATATTTATGTTTATTCTGGGATATGGTTAATAAGTAATTATACTGTGTTGTTAACTACGGAAACTGGAGGATGGTATGCGCCGGTATGGGACGGTGTCATACTAGGTACGGATTAGTTCAGACACTAAGCCCTACTTAAATTTGGATTAAGGTATGGATTAATCATAAAGATTAAGTCCATCACCAATGTATGTCATATCAATTGTGAATTGGATGATCCACTATGGTTTCAGGATGGATTTGTTGTACATATATCAGACCACTACACAGATGGATGGTATACTGTATTAGGAGGAGTACGGACTTTATATATATATTATATGGTGCCGTGGTATGAGCTTGAGTCTCATGACCATAGTTAGGGCGCGTATCTCGCCTAGGATGGATAACTGGACATAGGTGTTTTTCCCTGGTAGGTCTGAGTACTCATGCCCACCTTAGGGTGCGTATTTGCATGTTGCCTTCTATTCAGGCTGAGACAAACCTACTGGACTAGCGAGCGTCCTATAGTGTGTACTATATACTTATATGGACTACTCTAGATATTGTAGAGTCTTCCTAGGATGTATCTGCGTATCGGATTACTGTTTGGATTGTAGTAGATCAGGACTTGCATATGGGCCTGACCCACCTCTTTATTTTTTAGGTGTTCGTCAGTTCCAGGGTTAGAGCTTGGACGTGCAGAGCAGATACAGTTATTCATTCCTTCGATTATGTAGGAACTTTCTCTATGTTAGCTTTGGGTTTGATTTTCATTATTTCAGTATCTTTTTGGAGAATTTCATTAAGGGGTCTAATGGATGGATTCCCGAGTTGTAAACTTATGGAGTTTTGGATTGTTTTAGATTTCAATATTTATACTTTAAGGATTTTCAGTTAGTACTCTTCCAGCTTATTATTTTTATTTCTTATTTTATCTTGTATTCTGTGTTCGGTTACATATTAATTGTTTGATATCCCTCGAGTTTGGGTCTAGGCCTGATCAACCCGTGTCTCGGATCCGAGGGGTATCACATATAATCCCTTGGGACAATCCCTACTCACTCTTGCTACGTTAGTAGTAGTGGTAGTAGTGCTTTTTATAAATTTAAACTTGATCCAAAAAACTTTTCTTGAACCGCACATTCACTATATTATTTTGGCGTATACAAGTGGCCTTCGTCAACATCCCTTGGTCCTCGTTCCCAAAGTTAAGAAATGACCAACACCAAGATTGCTCCAAGATGGCCCATTATATCAGTTGTCAACCATGAAATCTTACTTGTATATTTCAATACACACTTGTATCAATAAAAGATTGCTCATTATGATCACTTGTATCAATGGTTCTCTGCGTTTCAAAACTCAATTCACCGCTTTAGAAGGTCAATTAGTGTGCATGTAGTTCTATTCCTCCACTCAATCTCAAATATTGTAAAGTGACAACTAAACTGAAAACTAGTCCATTGGTTTGTTCACATCTTTAAACTAAATAAGAATACCGGTGGGGAAATAAAAAATAAAAAATACATTAAATATTGTGCTACAATCAAGTCTTAAATGAATTGGAGACCTATTTATAAAGTTGGTTATAACTTATAAACTTTTGTACTTGACCATTTCCCCGACTATACTTCTAGTGCTCTTCATCAGCTATAAATAAATTCCTAGCAACCATAAAAATCTCACACTTCTGCCATTTTACTTTTTTTTCTTCTCGTTCTAAAAATAGATCTATAAAGCATGAAAAAGGAAAGATAAGAATCTTTAAGTAATAAAAAAATTAATTAAATATTTATTTTTGAATATAAAATTATAAATTTTATACACTTATCAGTTATAACCTCCTTTTTAAAAATAAGAACATGCATGATATGGTCTGCATTGCAAATTGTCCTTTCATTGCCAAATATCATAATATACCAATAAAGTAAAGACAACATCACATTAATGTGACTAAAGTCAAAAATTTTGATCGCTCAAACTTAATCTCAATATCACCACATTAGTGGTCAAAAATTTTGATCCTTGAACAAACAAACAAACCAAACTCGAACTTGAAAAGTAATACTTTATCATTTGATTGCTCGACTTGACTCGCTTGTAGTCCATACGAATCCGGTTACGGTCAGGGATGGAGCCAGAATTTTTGTTCAGGGGGCACATTGTATGCTAAATGCATAAATTAATATTTATGGATTATGTATACATAAAGAGAAATAGGTGGATAAATATAGGTAGAGATTGATATTTTTGGAATAAAGTAAATTAATAAATTACATATATAAAATATAATGAAACAATTTAAGAAAACATATAGAGTATAAAGGGAAGGAGAAATTTGAGGGGGACACTTTTACACATTTTTTAAAAATATATACCTATTAAAAGAATATATATATATATAATAAGAAAAGAAAAAAATCCAGGAGGGGCATGTCCCCCGGTCCCTGCGGTTACCGTGAAAGGGTTAAGCAAGTTATATATGCATAGGTAAACTTTCAAGGCTCAACATGGGCCAAAAGAAAAGCCCAACATGCCAAACTAACCAAAGAGTGAAATACATCAAACAATCAACCAGCCCAACAATAATACCACTTTAACAATTGAAATAACCATTAATAAAAACCACTGGTCGGCAGGTAGTTAGCAATGGCTATTTCAGGTCAATCCGGCGAAGAGACGAGGGGACAATCAGGGATAGCACTCGATCACCCCCATGGATCTCAATCTGGAGGCGTTAGTGGTGGGCGAATACCAATCGGAGCAACTGACCATTCAGTTGATAGAGCAGAAATGTATTCCCCTTTCGAAGATCTTAGGGTTCCGGCGATGGGTGGCCACCAGTTTCAGAACTGCTTCCTGTGATAAGGGTGAGTTCCTGAATATTCTATTGTTTGAAGAAATAAAATTAAAATGCCTCTTTCCAGCTTTGAGCCCTATTGCATGCCACCCCCAGTTGATATTGATATTTTAAATTGGAAAGAAAAAATCTACAAGCGTCAATTCTGAAACACATCTTATGATTTCGTATTGTGTGTGTGTATATATATATACATATATTGTTTTTTCTTGGTAAGAAACTCATGCACCCATTTGCTCCTATGGGGATTTCAACCCTCGCCATCCACTTTGGGAAGTAGAGAAAATACCATTAGGCTACGATGGCATTGGTTCTAATGATGTCCTTGGTACTTTGGTGTTTTCATTGCTAACGATGTTAACAAACCATCACTAAGTACTAACTGCTAGTCCCACAACAAGTGCTATTGTGGATAGTTATCACTTATATCAGTTTTTTTTCACAGTTGTATATTTCTTTTGATATATTCGTGCTGTTTTAACAATAAAGGTACCCAACTATTCCAGTTCATTATAACATTTTAAGTTCTTCTTCTTCTTCTTCTTCTTTTTCTTTTTTTTTTTTCTTTTTTTTTTTTCTTCAATTAATTAGATGTAGTATAAATTTTCTAATAGTCAATTTCATTTGTCATCTTCAATACACGAATTAGACCGATGATTCTATTAGCCAAAACCACAGGTTCTTAATTCAAAGTAACCGAAATTGTAGAAATTATAGCTTACTTCTACTACATTGGTCAAAGCTGTCAGTTTACAATAACATCACCTTTGAATCGCTGATTTGGATTGGGATTTGTGGCCATCGTGGCTACATGAAGCTTTAGCTTCTTCTTTCTCTGTTTTTTTTGTTTTTCTTTAGTTCAGACAGGAATTTTTTTATTTTATTTTATTTTTTTTTTTTGGGGAAAAAAAACTACCTTTGAACCATTTTACAGTAGCTTTATTCAACTTCCATAAAAAGCATAAATTAGATTTTACTGTTCATACACATCCGGTCTCATGCACCCAACGTGCTTCATAAGGAATGTTATAGGGCTTTGCCAAGATGAATTAAATTGACATACCTAATTGCAAAAATTGGAAAATGCACTCACAAATTAGGACAAGTGGTTCAGGTTGGATATGGATAATACCATGGCTGTCGTGTATACATTTACAAGCACATAAAAGAACTGTCACTGAATTTCTAAGTGTAAGCAAAAGACGAGTTCATGACATAGTTCACAACATTATTGGAATTATTTGGGGTCCCTAACCTGTTTAGACGTCATTAGTAGTGGAAAACTTCAAAGAACCAAAAAAATCTACAACATACACTAAGATGGCATGAAAGAAAAAATCTACAAGCGTCAATTCTGAACCACATCTTATGATTTCATATTGGCATGGAAGACAACAGTACCATTACACTGCAAAAAGCCAGATCTTGATACTGCAAGTCATGGCTGATAATATTGCAAGTGAAGCAAGCTCTCTCTTCTTTCCTATACTCCTCTTACCCATCATCTTTCTCATCCTAAAGCATTTCAAATCATATTTCCTATTAAAAAGTACTCTTACCACTTCCACCAGGACCAAGTCCATGGCCAATCTTGGGCAATATTCCTCATACGGGAAAAAGCCTCACATCACTCTAGCAAACTTTGTTCAGACTTATGGTTCACTCATGTCACTGAGACTAGGAACTCAAATCATGATCATCGGATCATCGGCAACTGCTGCAGAGGAAATTCTCAAGACCCATGATCGAATCTTATCTGCATGATATGTTCTTCATGCTGTACCAGCTAAGAGCCCAAAATTCAATCATTTGTCACTTGGGTGGGCACTGGAGTGCAATGATAGATGGAAGAATTTAAGAACAATACGCAGAAGTGAGCTCTTCTCGGGCAAGGCAATGGAGTCTCAAGCATATTTGAGAGAGAGAAAGGCAATGGACATGCTGAATATTTTGGGTGCAAAGGAGGGAAAGGAAGTGAAAGTTGAGAACTGGTTTTTGCCACTGTTTTTAATATGTTGAGTAATGTTCTTATATCAAGAGATTTTATCATATTGGAGAAACAGAGTGTGGATGGAGGGATGCAGGGTCTTCTAGGAAAATATATTGATTTTATTTCAGCTCCAAATCTGCCTGATTTTTATCCAATTTTAGGTGCATTAGATCTTCAGGGTTTAAACAAGAAGGCAAAGGAAGCGTTTATGAGGATGTGTGCTATGTGGGAGCCCATTATCGAAGACAGAAGAGAAGGAAGAAAAGGCAACGCTTCAGGCCAAAAGGACGTCTTGGACGCCCTCATCGACAATTCTTGTACCAATGATCAAATCAACTATCTGCTCCAGGCTTGCCCTCTTGTCTCCTCACTTATGCATATACACACAGATTAATATAGGGCTATATAGTTGTGGCAAAACAAGCAATTCATTTTCCTACACTGACAAACAGCCACAGAAGGCTCCTGGTTTGGGGGAAGATAATATTATCCTCCAGTGTGGTAAGGAACACTTGGTCATTGCATATTATTTTTTTTATCAGGGCTGGTGAACAAACAAGCTTATTACGAGCAATTTGAGGTCAATTTTTGTTAAATTGTTCATTAATTGGATGTGGTTCACCAGTCTAAATTCAACTTTCAGTTTTGTTAAATACTGGGCATGGATTGAATTAGCTTATGATCATCTGATGCAAATGGCATGCAGTTGAGTTAACATAACCCTCTAAGAAAATTACATTAAGGAAAATGTTCAAGGAAAATCAGGCTGTACTATAAAGCTATGAAATCTAATGAGGGATTCCATCAAAATTAGAGGTTAGTTTTTGCATTTTGGAAGTAATTTTCTTTCAATTGAAATCATATCGAAACCATCTTTGAACTGAATGCCAGATTAATTAGAAGAAGGCACAACTAGCTTTGTTAAGCTTCAACAGGACTAGTTTGGCTTTATTCAGACTCAAGTTATCCCATACTGTTAGTTGTGGTATGCTTTGTGACTTCAGAAATTAAAATGATGTGGAGAAAATTAATGGCATAGTTTCGTTTTCAAATAAGGTTTCAATTGCAATTGTTTGTCATATAATCTGAAAATCATTCATTCACATAATGCATTCTCATGAGCTATTCGCTGCTGGTGCAGAAACTAGTGCCTCAACTTGAATGGGTGATGGCAGAATTGATAAAAAATCCAGAATCCATGAAAAAAGTCCGCAAAGAAATGACGAGAAATCAAACAAGATTTGCTAAGGGCCTGTTTAGTAACGCTTTAACTTTCTAATTTCTACTGTCAATTCCTAAAAATAGAAAGTAAAAGTAAAAATTATGTTTATTAACATATTTCTGCTTTTTTACTTTCAGAAAGTACTTTCACATTTTAGGAAAGAAAAAGAAAGCACAGATTCCTCACTTTCTTGTTTTCTCCACTGTAGCAGAGGAATTACTTCCGATACTGTAGACGCTATGTTCCGTCGTTTATAACAATACCCACAACCCACAATTGTCTCTCCCATGTACCACGATGATGGCCACCAGATGGGCAACTCCAACGAAGATGATTCGCCGATCGGCATCGCCGGCGACCACCATATCGGCGATGATGGGACTTAGGTAAGTTATGCTTTCCTCAAATCTGATTTTTTTTTCTCTCTCTCATCTTCAAGGACAAAATCTCCTCTCTTCCTCCCTCTGTTTTCTTACCATTGAATCCTTAGCACAAAATCAAAGAGTTAGGCACACAACAACGAATACGATGATGAAAGATTCCGATCACAACAAGGAGAATCAACGCGGTGACGACAACGGCAAAAGGCTCATCCAATTGGCAATGACTATGATCGTGTTATGAGGCCTAGACTCACTGACGTGGTTGTTGCGACAAAGGGGTTTCAGCGAAAGTTATGGGTTTGAAGATAAATGGGTTGAGATTTTTGGTTTGATTGCCAATCTGAGACTACACAGCGGCGGGATCGGAGAGGTTTTTTTTTTTTTTTTTTTTTGATACTGTGATTGGAGCAATTGCAATTGTAGTGGGAAGAGGAGGTTTTGGATGGTGAACATCTTGGTTTTGGAAGAGAGTTTAATTTTGTGTTGGAAAGAGGTTTGTGGTGACATTATTGATGTTTGAAAGCTATGATGGGAGGTGGTGGTGGTTTCTGGTAGTGCTTGTAGTTAGGTAAAAATGGGGGATGGTGGATGCCGAACTTGAACTGGGAGATGGTGGGATTGGGATGGTAGATGATAGAACTACAGTAATGGTAAAAAAATAAAAGCAAAATCATAATTATTAAACTTGATTTTGTTATTTTGCTTTCTAAATTTTAAAGAATATGAAATATTACTAAACATAATTTCATTTTCTATTTCAGTTTAAGAAATCAAAATCTCAAGTATTCCTTCATTTTCTTAGGAATGATGAATTACACAATTCCTAAGAATTCTCAAGTACTAGTAAATGTTTGGGCGATTGGGCGAGACCTCATGATTTGGGAAGATCCATTGAACTTCAAGCCAGAACGGTTCCTCAACTCGACTCTAGATTTTAAAGGGACTGATTTTGAGTTCTTACCGTTTGGTGCAGGGAGAAGAATCTTCCCTGCCCTACCCATGGCAGCAAAGCTTGTTCCTTTGATAGTTGCTTCATTGAGCTAGACATGAATGAGAAGGTTGCTTTAACATTGCAGAAGGAACATCCCTTGGTCCTCATTCCCAAACTTAAGAAATGACCAACAGATTGTGCCAATCTTTCTACCATGTGTACTGTTATAATCACTTTCATATATTTATCTCAAAGAGTGCTCATTATATCAGTTGTCAGAAATGAAAGCTTTTCTTTTAAATTTCAATACCTTCTTGTATCAAGAAAAGATGGCTCATTATGATCACTTGTATCCATTTTTCTCTGTGTTCATCATCAGGAAATCTCATGAGCAGTAGATTTTTACCTCAAATTAAATTTAAAGAGGTGAGTTTCTAAACTCAATTCATTTCTTAGAAGGTCAATTAGTGTGCATTTACTTCTATTTCCCTCAATCCTCAAATGATGTAAAGTGCAACCAAACTGAAAACCAATCCATTGATTATTTACATATTTACACTATTTCCCACCTAGGATGATTGTTGTAGTTTAGAACATTATTTTTACCACTATAACTGTAAACAAAATTTGATTTTGAGGACCTAGGATAATTTGTATAAGCCTAAAACATACTGTTGTTTATTCTTTCATTGGCGTGAAAAATCTAAGCAAATGAATTAAGCTCAGACTTACTTTCTAAGCTCGTGTGATAACGAGAGCTGCCTTGGCCGTCTCAAATAATAAGCAAGGATTCGGTTTGCTACTTTTATAATTTATTAGGAATTGATTGAGTTTATATCTATTTTTCTCCTTGAAAATCTAGATCTCTAGCTGGAGCTCTAGAAGGAATTTGAGATTAAGACTGAAATTATTTAAATAAGCAAATAAATCAAGCTTGAGCTTGACAAATAATATTTCATAGGCTCACCCCAGTCGATATTATTAATTATTTAATGATATTCTACTTTTAAAATGGAAAGAAAAAATCTACGAGCTTCAATTTTGAACCACATCTTATGATTTCCTTGTGCTTTGGTGTTTCCATTGCTAACGATGTTAATAAACCATCATTAAGTATACTAACGACTAGCTTACTTCTAATGCGCTTGGGGTGCTTTATAAAGAATTAGGGTAGGATTTTGTCAAGATGAATTAAATTGACATACCTAACTCACAAATTAATTAGTCAAGCGATTTAGGGTGGATATGAATAATATCATGACTTTGCATGGTGAATACATTTACACTACATTTCTAGTCGTACCACGTGTACTTGACATATTTCTCCGACAACACTATTGCTGATATTGAAAAACTTCAAACAAATTACAAAAAGAATCTAGATACATAGACTAAGATGTATCTAAGACTAAGATGGCATGGAAGATGACCCAAGATTAAGGAAAATGGCAAACACCGCTTTAGACTTTATAGAAAATGATATAGTATTTTATAGACGTTTAAGTAGATTGTAAATGCAATCTTTAAAGATTAAGGTCACTTTCAACAAGTTGAATTACTATTTTGTCCATATAATTATTTGAATCATATATAAGTTCTTTGAGCCAAGTCAATGATTCTAGATGATATTATCAATTGAATGGTTAGGTCCTATGTTTAATTATTGACAACTTTAATGAAGAGCTTGTTTCTCTCCATAAATTACTGGCTGACGATTTAATTCATGTTGCAATTTCATAAGTATGCTTTTTCCAGTAGGAAGGAAGGAAGAGGGGTAAAGGGAAGATAGGAAGTAAGGAACAAATTTCTTGTTCCTTAGAGAAGATACAAGGAGAGAAAGGATAATAGGATTGATGAGCCATCTTTCCTCTATAAATTTTCATCCCTCTATTACAAGTTTTAAATTATAATATTATCCTCCATAAATTACAATATTATAGATAGTGATGGGTATAATGGTAAAAAAAATTTAAAAACTCCCTTCCCTTCTTTCCTACAAACACAATAATTTGTGAACTTACTTTTCTCTTTCATCCAACCGGAAAAAAAATAGGAAAAGGTGTAATATCTTCTCAAATGATGTCTCATCTATCCTTTCTTCTCTCTCTTCCATCCAACTTTTTAATTCCTACTTACAGATCGCTTGATAAGCCCCGGAGAAAAGATATGTTATAGTGCACTTTCTAGACAGGAGCCTATCATGCCTAGTGAGCCAAATGAAGCCCATAAGCCTCTGCAGAACTTCCAGCTTCCACTATTCTGATTCTTCATTCTAGAAATTGTGCCATAAGCAGATGTGGTTGTGAAGGGGAAATTTTCAGGTAAGGTGGTAACAGCTCAATGATGAATGTACAATGTAAACCAAAATTGTTTCAAACTAGTTGGATTGGAACAGATAAATAATGAATCTATATTGTAAAATTATCATCTGTTCCTACATCTCAACTTTGAGTGGATTTGTGTAAGCCATTACAATCATGTTGAATTTTCACATCCAACGGGACCACAAAACCGGAGTGAATTATGTTGCCATTACTACAATAACAAATGAAGTATAAGTATTGTTCTTGAAGAAGTATAAAATAAAATAAAAAAAGGCCAGTTGTGTGCTCCAAATCTTCCAAAGATAGAAAAGAAAAATTGTCCCATGACTACAAATCCTTGACAAGAGACACAACTTGATGGTGAAACTTCATATTTAGATTAAGATGAATTATTTATGTACTATTGCAGAGGAGAAATCTCATTGCAATAATGTGGCAGATCACTATCGGCAAACAGCAGTCGGTGGAGTTGGGCTTGACTATAAATTCCTGCTTTATGAAAGGAAAAAAAAAAAACCAATCCTCCTCTTAGCCATCATCTTCCTGGAAGTCATGGTTGAAAATATTGTAACAGAAGGAACCTATGATCTCTTCTTTTCAATCCTCCTCTTAGCCATAATCTTCCTCATCCTAAAGCTTTTAAAATCTAATTTCCTATCAGAAAGTACTCTCCCACTTCCACCAGGACCAAGTCCTTGGCCAATCTTGGGCAATATTCTTCAAATGGGAGAAAAGCCTCATATCACTTTAGCAAACTTTGCTCGATCCTACGGCCCACTCATGTCACTTAGACTAGGAACTCAAATCATGATCATTGGATCATCACCGGCTGCTGCAGTAGAAATTCTCAAGACCAATGATCGTACTTTATCTGCACGATATGTTCCTCATGTAGCACCACCTAAGAGCTCAGAAGTAAATCATTTATCACTTGGGTGGGCTCTAGAGTGCAATGATGCATGGAAGAAATTGCGTTCTATATGCCGAACTGAACTCTTCTCTGGCAAGGCAATAGAGTCTCAAGCATGTTTGAGAGAGAAAAAGATAAGGGACATGGTGAGGTTTTTGAGTGTGATGGAGGGAAAGGTAGTGAAAGTTGGAGAAGTAATTTTTGCCACTGTGTTTAATATGTTGGGTAATGTTTTCATTTCAAGAGATTTTATCAGCTTAGAGGAAGAAAACTTGGATGGAGGGATGAAGGATCTTGTAAGAGAAATCATGGAGGTGTCTTCTGCTCCAAATCTATCTGATTTTTATCCAATTTTAGGTGCATTAGACCTTCAGGGTCTAAGAAAGAAGTCACTGGAGTTGTTTGGGAAGGTTTGTGCTGTGTGGGAGCCCGTCATAGAAGAAAGAAGAGACCAAAGAAGAGGCGGCGCTTCTAGCCAAAAAGATTTGTTGGACACCCTCATCGACACTGCTTTTACCAATGATAAAATAAACACTCTTTTCATGGTTTGCTCTCTCGTCTCTCTTTTGCATCATCATCATCACCATCCTTGTCTTTATCTCATATCAAATAAATCGTCTCTCTTTTTCAAATAACACAAATTAATATATACTAGTAGCGAAACTAGCAAAACCTTGGTCTGCACTCGTAAACATATACAGAATATCTCCTAGTTTGGGAAAATATAATATCCTCCATATTTATAATGAAAGCTTAGTCCTAGCATATGAACTCTCATCATGGCTTGCAAAAAGGCAAGCTGCTTCTGATCAATTTGAGGACAGTTTTGTTGAATAAATCATGCGATCTGGTTCACTAGTCTAAAGTCAAGCTTAATTTCCTTGATTTGCATTCACGAGTAATTCTGTTTCACTTGAAATCAGATCAGAACCATCTTTGCTGTCAAAAACAAGCAACAACTACCAAAATGCAAACTGAATGGTACCTGGATTTTACATTATGTAATGATAGTCAGATTTTGACATGAATACTATGTCAGATTAGACCAATGGATAACTAGCCTTGACCAAGCTTGGACAGGGCTAGTTTCACTTCAGTCAGGCTAAATTTACTATATTGTTTGCTGCAGTATGCTCAGTTGTTCCAAAAAATCAAACAATATGAAGAGGACTATGTAGGTTCCAAAGTAATTTTATGGCAACAAATTTTTTTTTTTTTTTTTTGAAGGGAGTTCATTTTTTTACATCATGTAAGAGTCGTTGATAAGCATATATAATTGCAATATCATACTCATCTACCATGTAACTTGTATGATTTTTCAGGAGCTATTCACTGCTGGTACAGACACTAGCACTTCAACAGTTGAGTGGGCAATGGCAGAATTGATAAAAAATCCAGAATCCATGAAGAAAGTTTGTGAAGAATTGACAAGAGAAATCAACCAGCATTCGCTGAAAGAATCCGATCTAGCTCAGCTACCTTACCTTGAAGCCTGCGTAAAAGAAACTCTGAGGTTGCATCCTCCAGCACCATTGCTGCTTCCTCACCGAGCACCTGACTCATGCAAAGTGATGAATTACACAATCCCAAAAAATTCTCAAGTGGTAGTAAATGTTTGGGCAATTGGGAGAGACCCCATGGTTTGGGAAGAGCCATTGAAATTTAAACCAGAGCGATTCCTCAACACGACATTGGATTTCAAAGGGAATGATTTTGAATTCTTACCCTTTGGTGCGGGAAGAAGAATCTGCCCTGGTCTTCCCATGGCAGCAAAGCAAGTTCCTTTAATACTTGCTTCACTGTTTCGTTCTTTCGATTGGTCTCTTCCACATGGAAATGATCCCAATGAGCTAGACATGAATGAGAAGTTCGCTGCAACACTGCAGAAGGAACAACCCCTGGTCCTCATTCCTACAATTAAATAATGACAATGGAGTGCTCCAATCTCCTTAGGTTCTGTACTGGTATGATCACTTAAATTATAAATATATTCCTGTTATAGTGCTTGTTGGAGAACAAAAGTTCAAATTCTAGTTTCAATATAAAGTTGCACTTTTCTTCATCAAAAGAGCTCTCACATTAGATTTTTGTGTTGACTTTGTTTCTACCAAATGCCAACTATCTTGGCTGAATTCATTCTGGATAAATTATTTGTCAGTCAATTAGTGAATATATTTGAAATTGAATGCGTTGTATCCCAATACACATGTCACATCGTCAAATTTTCTAATAAAATATTCTGATACCATTTTGTCACAACCCGAAAAAGATACCAAATACTAAAAAAAAATCGGTATGACTTAAAAAGAATATGTGAGTTTCAAAGACTGGACAACGTAAAAACTTTTAAATCGAAGATAGATATTTAGAATAAAGAGAGCCATCCCTTCATGTGTGCTAATATAGTGATATAAATTACCAGAAGTAGAGTGGTGAATGTGTCGGTATTTATTGGATTATCAATTTCATTTCAATCTTTTTTTACATATATAGTATACATTTATCGGGTAAATTCCGATCCGCATGAAAAGCATAACGATCTGGGGTTGTCTCGAAAAAAAGGCTCGTTGAAATAGACATTTTTGTAAAAATGCAAACTACATGCACCTCGACAAAAAGACTCTATAAAGTTTTATTATTTCCTAAGATTGGCTTTGGGCCTTTTCTGCGCAACTTAGGTGAAGGACAAAGAAGGCCTCCTTCCTGGGAGGACCCGAGCCATTAGTGAAATACTACGCTAAAAGAGCTAAAATTCTAACCCAATTGTTTGGGCCTCTTTCTTTTTTGTATAACATTACAACGAAAAAGTAATCATAGAATATTCCAGTTACAGTAGTGTGCCCATATGGAAGTTGTTGGGCCTCTGTCTTTTTGGGCTGTTATTTCTCAGTGGGCAACGCCTATTTATGCTTTATATTTTGTGGGTTGGGCTAGTTTTCCCTCCCCAAGTCTTGTACTCTTAGGCCCATGTACATTTTCCATACAGTTTATTATACATTATTTAACTTTCCCACAATTTTTTATTTTTATTTTTCTTTCTAATGCCACTTAATTCATCCTCCATTTCTATATGGGATCTCTTAGAATAAACTTTTGTGTACATAATTTAAAAATGTTTATAATAATTTTATTGATGCACATCAAGGAACATATATAATTACACTAGGAACTTCGTATCACCTCTTTTTTCTAATTTTTTAAATATGCCATAATTATCAAGATTCAACAATCAACTAAGATACACATATCTTGAATAGTCATACAACATGCATTCTCTTCTTTAGGTCAATGAATGGACTTACACTCAAATTAAAAGAAATTTAACATAATAATCAATACAAACTAGACTTGTTAATGGATCGGATTCTTATTCGAATCCGATCCGTTTAATCGGATATTGATTGAATAAAAAATCTGATAACCCGATTATTATCCAAATCTAATAAACATGAATTTGAGTTGATCCAATCCGTTAGAAAAATATATTTATATTTATACTCCGTATATTATATCAACAATCAAACCAAGTTTATATAAATGTAAATAGTGAGATAAAAAAATCAAATTACAATATTATATTTACAATACTAAGGTGTTCTCATCCACGTATTATTACTCCCTCTTGTACCTATCACTCACTTAAAGAGGTAAGAAGGGAACTCCACGGGTGCTATTAGTAAATCGTGCTTCCAGAGAGAGACGAAGGTGAAGGAAAGTCATATGTGGCCGAGTATTATTTATTCTCTCCTTTGTTTTTTTATTTTTCCTTTTCTTTTCACTATTACAACTTTACAAGCCCTGATTTTTATCTTAATTTCAAAAAGCTATCTCAGATTTTTTTTATTGTCTTATCCCCTCTTTTTCCAGTTTATGGAGACTTGGTTCTCTGTCACAGAATCCATCTCAATCTCTCTCTCTTTTTACCCTGGTTTTGATCTTCTTTGTGTTACCTTTACTAATCATAGTTGCAGTAACAGAAACCATATCATGCTAAGATTTGGTGTTTAATTTCTAATAGCGAGATAATTATTTGAATCAATTTGCTGCTTGATTTTGTGCACTTGATTTGTGCTTGTATAAATTGCAAAAAGGTATAACGTCCATATGGATTGAGTAAGTAAGAATCTTTTCGATTATCGGATCGAATTACTTATTTTGCTTATTGAATTCGGATCGGATCGATCATGATTCGGTTTGAATCTGATCCATTGACAGGTCTACCCATCATCATGTAAGACACCGCAAGTTGAAGTCATATTATGATCATGTATCGGTGAACTGCAACTAGTAAAAAAATACCTCAAAATAGAGTCTAGAAGAAGAATCAATTGAGGACCAAGGAGAAGTTGAATTCTAACAGGATTGCAAATATAATGCTTTCAACTCATGCCATACATACAGCCAAAGCAAGGGGAAATAATAGAATTATATAAATAGTTACTATATAGCAAAGTTTGACAATCACGATCATGGTTTTAATAGCGAATTTAAACTGCGGCTCTATTTGTTTTAAAGTAAAATAATTTTTGAAAAATATTTATTATGTTTTCTAGTATTTGATTGTTGTAAAATATTTACAAAAAAAAAATATTAAAATTTAACTAAAATAATTTATTCATTAGTTTTTGATAAATAATTATACACGTCCCACTGGTAAACTTGACTTAGACATTTGTTAAATACATAGAAATATATATATATTTTACCAGGAAAAAATATATATATATTTCTGAGAAAAATATCTTACGTTTGTTTCTGACCTTTTTTCTTAACTAGACAGATTCATCGTACTTGCAAGCTACAGTTCTTATGACAGATTCAACATCTTAGTAAAACATTCATGGTTTCGACTAATATTCCTGATTAAATTTCTTGCAGTAATCATAGAATATTTCCAGTTGTGCCCTTATGGAAGTTATTGGGTCTCTATCTTTTTGGGCTGTTCTTTCTGGGTGGGCTAAAGCCTATTTATGCTTTATATTTTGTGGGTTGGGCTAGTTTTCCCTCCCCAAGTCTTGTACTCTTGGGCCCGTGTACATTTTGAATAATATTATTTTTAGAACATTTGAATAATACTGATTTATGTTTAAGTAATTTATTAAATTAGCAAATGTGAATTGAAAGTGAAATCTATACAATCACATCTTTGTAGCTTTAACATTTGATTTCTTTAATTCTCTCAATCTTATTCTCTCTGTGTTTGCATAGAGAGAATATATATATAAACAAATATTATATATATTAAGATTGAGAGAATTAAAGAAATCAAATGTTATATATATATAAACAAATATTGTAATGTCAATATGCCCATCACTTAATAGTAAGGTGCTTTTGTGATAACTTGAAATTTTCAATAAATTTTAATTTATAATTTTATTGTTGAGTTTATTTTAGTGGGAGGTGTGGTTGTTATTTTAAATAATTTATATATATATATATATATATATATATATATATATTTATATTTATATTTATATTAGTGATGATGGAATGAGACAATGATAATGAAATAAAGGTGGCTGTTTTGTGGAGAATGGGATTAGAATAAAACAAGGAAGTGGCGGGGTCCATTGAAGTTATAGTGCTTATATAATATATATATATATATCTATAGTATGCTTGTGTAATCAGATGAAAAGGGAGAGGGTGCCGAGAGAAGAAAAATTGATATGGCGTGGGTCCCACATGTGATTTTAATGGGTAGTGACTTCGGTACAGTTCACGTGTGCTGATGTTGCTTATGAATCAGAAGATAAAGGGAAATGATGGAAGATAAGGAAGGAAAGTAATGATAAGATTATGGCAGACTACTTTTTGACTTTGGCTTAATTTCTTCGCGTGGGTTTTGATTGCGTGGTTAGCATTTGTTGAAGAGCGGTTGTTGGCCTATTTAATTGTGCGTGTCGTGTGCACCGCTACGTTAAAGATAGGGAAGCATATAAGAAAGTTAGAAAAGTTTGAGAGAGAAAAATGGAGTGAGCCGAAACAGATAGAGTTTGAGTGAGTTGAGAGTTGCAGATTGCACAGCGGAAGCTTGGAGACTCGATGATTCAGTGAGGAATTAATTTTTTTTTTTTTTTTTTTTTTAGTGTAGAGTTCTTTATATCTTGAATGATATGGGGAGATTTTGATTAAATATTTTATTAAATATTTTGATTAAATGTATATTTATTTTGTTTATACTCACATGATTATGTATATTTTGTGAAACTGTTTTGTTAAATTTTCATGAAATTTTTGTTATGGTTTTATTTATTGGGACTTTTTGTCTCACTACCCTCCAGTTTCAGGTACTGAGGATGAACGGGGATAACTAGAGACAGGCTTAGGATGAAGAGTTGACGTGGAGGATTTAATTTTTTTATTTGGAGAATTTTTTGTAAATTGACTTTGTATTAAATGATGGCATTTTTTAATGATCTTGGGTGTATTTTGGTGTACCGAATTTTACATAAATTGAAGATTTTATTAGAAAAATCCGGGACGTAACAGCTTTTATAATTTATATTTAAATGCACTTCAGCTTTGGGTCTCCATATATTGATATGTCTTACATTTGTGAGTCGGTCAGCATTGATATTTATGTGTTGGATGAGTGTTGAATGTTGATAGAAAGCCTTCTGAAATTCCTTTTCATATCACTTCAGAAATTTATTACTTCCTCGTATTCCTATTATTAATATTTTTTTATTTCAAAACAAAAGATAAAATTAAAATATTGTGAGGGTTATTTGTCAAGGAAAATAAAGGAAAAAAAACTTCATGCTACTTTATTTTATTAAAACAACAAAAATAACAAATTTATATATAAAATATTCTACTAAGAAACAATAGTGGTTTATACAAGTAAACACACTACCACAAATATAATGAAACATACCAAAAGATTACAATACATGAAAGAAGCACACATGCGTGTTGGAGATGAAATATCGTTATTTTAATAACCAAGAACCGAAACAAGCACATCATTTTTATTTCTCCATTTCTGCAGCTTACAAAAAGAGCTAGTTGGAAATCATCCTCGTGGGAACCATCACCAAGCTCCTACTTTTCAAACAAATACAAGGAAGAAGAAAATTTTCATCAGTAAATATTTATATTCTAGACTTCTTCTAGTTGGGTATAATAATTCATCTTACAAACCTGATCGCATGGTGACTAAGTCTTTAAGTAGATCATGCCTTTATGAGGACTGACTAGGACCTGCCTCCAAAGTTGCTGCCTGAAAAACCATCCTAATATACGTTCTTTGTCATTGTAATTAATTAAAAGGATATAATCTATACAGTGATCCATGGATGACCATTATATATGCTCAATGATACGTACCTTGGGTCTGAAGTGGTTTTGCACAATGTGATTAAGGTCGCCACCATTGATCGTGATCACAATCTCTTTCCCCTCAGATTCATATTTCACTGTTTTCTTCAGTTGGGGTGTTACTTGATCTCCATAACCAAAAGTCTCCATCTCGAAACAATAATGGATATGCAGCATTTCCAAAGATGGCCATTTAATAGTATAACAACCGGTGCAAAAACTCTTTAGCTTGTACAGATGGATAAGCGATATCGAGGACAAGCAGGGGAATTCAACTGAAGTCGCTTCTTGTTTTCCTTTCTTATCCTCAATTACATTTTGCAATTTGTAGCACTGGAATACTTCTAAATTTTCGAGTTTCTCAAGATCATCTTTAACGATGGAGGTTGAGAAAAGGCATGCTTACACAGGTAAGGCTTCTCAAACAAGGGACTGCTATCTCTGCATCTTGCTCGTCATCATGTCCAAATAATACTTCCAAACTATCGCAAACAGAAACATCAAGGTATTTCAGGCGAACAAGCCCTTGTAATAGCTTTGGTGAGAATAACTTTGTTAACTTGGTACAACCATACACAGTGAGCTTCTCAAGGTTACTAGCAAACTGGATGAAACCATATGTACCAGCTGATCACACTCATCCCCATGTAGTTCTCGTACATTGTGGAAAGATTTGTCCGGGAGTTGTCCAGGGCATATTTCTATGAAGCTCCGCAAGCTAGAAAGCGACAAAACCTCTAAGCTGCTAAATGCCATTTGCGGTGCGGACTCCTTCGTGTTCACCAGATATTCCGTCCCTTTCAGGCGATTGAGTTCAAGAGAATTTAATTCATTGAAGCCCTCCTCACTTAGTTCACTGAAGATATCATTGGAATTCTTCAAGCCGTCCAAAACTAGATGCTTAGTCTTCTCTAACAGCAACTTAACCCAATCCGACAATAATGGCTGTATTGGCCCCTCATGCCAAATTCTCAAGCTTCCCATGCGTACATAAGGTTTATACCTTTCTTCACTGCTGCTAATTGTTATGTTGAAACTTGTTAACTTTTGCGCAAGCTGAAGTAAATCTAAAGGCAAAAGATTTTGGTCGATTGGAATTAAATGATGGATTGAAATAAAAATTTGCAGGCAAGTCAATCGAGATGAGGAATTTAGCCCAACGAGATTGGCGAACTCAAAATATTCTGGCAAATATAGCTTCTCTAAATCAGGAAGTTTGCTGATGTCTGCTGCTATATTGATAAGGTTTTTACAGTTTTTCAAATCAAGGAGTGTGAGACGAGTCAATTCAGCAATATTGCTGGGAATCTCAACAATTTGAGAACCACAAAAGCTGAGAATCTCAAGATTACGTAGTTTTCCTATCATAGAGATGTCCCCCAACTTGCAAGAAGTTAGATGAAGGGTTCGAAGGGTATTAGGAAGCGGTTGAAGTGATGGTGGAAGTATTGGCAAGAAATGGATACCGCTCATTTCTAAAAAAGTCAATTGATCTTTGGATCCTTTGAAGAAATCATCTGGAATTTGCAAGTGAGAATTGCATTGTATTAGCAAGGTCTGGAGTTTTGGGGTTGATAGCTCACGAGGAAGCTCATTCATATCATTTCATATCAGTGAGATGGCTGAATAATTTTCAAATGTTTGTGTAACTGGCCAATTTTTCAATCCAGCCATAACCTTGAACCGGTACTTGTCATCTTTAGACGAAATATATATGGCAACATCGTGAAGAACATCATGCATTTTAACGAACCCTTTCTTAGAACCATCCAGCAACATTAAAGAATCAGTAAGGGTACTTGCTACATCATGGGCAGTGTATCTTGCTTCTTCAATGGTGTGGACATCTTCAAACACCTTCAGCCCCACGGTGTATCTCATCAGGTCTTCCACCGAAATGTCATGATCTTCTGGAAACAAGCTACAGAGTAAGAACAATAATTTGGCCTCCTCCCTTTCGGGATAATTGAAACTCAACTCAAGTTTGGCAAACACGTTCTTTTCCATTCCCTGTTGTAAGTTCGAGTTCTTCAGCTGTCTAGCCCGAGCAGCCCACACGTGGTGCTTTTTATTTTTCAACCCTGTAGCGATGGTCACAATTACAAGTGGCATACCACCGCATGCATCTGCTACCTCTCTTGCAATGTGATTCAAATCACTGGAATCCACAGCTTCACCACCGGCCATGACCCTGAAAAGGACCCATGCTTCTTGTTTATCTAACTCATCCAGTGGAACAATCTTTTGAACTCTCATTCGATTGCAAACGTCTCGGCTTCGACTGGTCAACACAACTTTTCAACCCTTGTGATCATTCCCGAAAGGAATGCCGACAGCCTCCAGATCAAGTTTGCCCCAAACATTGTCAAGTATTACCCGGACTGGTTTTTTCCTGGCCTTTATTGTTTGCCATAATAACCATGCTCTGGTTGATTCGCTGACAGTGTCGTCTAGCTCGTGGCCTAACATGTATGCGATTTCCTTTTGGATCTTTGTCACGATTGGAGTTTTAGAAACAACGGCCATCACAACCTCGCTGAATAGCTCAGTCTGTTTGACACGTCTGCCAATTTCCTTCACTAGTGTCGTCTTACCAACACCTCCCATTCCACAAATTCCAATAGAGTCAGTGTTGTCGTCCTTCAAAGCATCGATAATCTGGGCCGTGACTGATGCTCTTGTTTTAGGTGGTGGAGCAGGGCGGGACAAAATATTGAATTTGCTGCCCTTTTCATAGAGGGCAGTAATTTCATCAGTTTTCTGATTTGCTTTTTTGCTCAACTGGTATCGGCACCATCTACCTAGGCAACCCTCGTCTACCTTAGCTTTGTCTTCCATAAGCTCATTGACCCATGCGGTGATAACATGCACATCAGCAAGCCAGGTCTGGACACCATCTTCAGCAACGTCGCCGATTCTCTGGAACAATGTGTCCACCTTTTCTTTGATACACCCAAGCTTCTCAGCTTCCACTCCAACCTTGTGAATATTGTGGTCATAGTGAAACAAGTAACAAATCTCACCTTTAACTGCATTGAACAAGGGGTCCCTGATTTCCCCCCAAACCCATCTCATGAATGGCCATGCCGCTATGAATGGTGATGCCGCAGCAATAGCAAGAGCAACAGCAATACCAAATTTCATCCTGATGGATCTTCTTACTCTTCAGTGGTACTAAACAAGAGAGACCCTATTTAATTTTCAGTGGTAGTGGTGATCATAGAAATGGAAGCAAATAAAACATTGTTTAGTGTAAAAATAGATAGTCATTTTCAAAGATTAATGGACCAACAAGTGATTTAGAGACGATCAAATAAGATTACTCATATCTCATACTCTTGCACATGTGAATTTTCTGTTGACTTGATACCATGACTTAAATTATGGGATCATTTTACTTCTACTAGTGGACCCATTTTACTCTCCTCTACAAAATACACTCTAGAACTCATTACAATAAAACCAAAGCCCATTTGACTCGTCTTTTATTCTTTATCCTCTTTCTCATTTGTACATCTATTATACGTTATGCAATCATATACGAATTCTGTCTTTTAATGTTGTTGTTCTTTAACCGTTTCTTCTTTATATTAATGAGGACTTCTTAAATACAAAAATCAAAACATGTTATATATACGTATAAAAGTATATGGGATTCACATCAAAAGGTAAGAAAATTCTATTTTTCTTACTCACATCAAAAGCAAGAAAAATTCAAAAAATTTCATGTCAGTTTTGAAAAATCTCTGCAAGAAGATATATTTATTTTGTTGAACCTAATATATAGGTTGTTAGAATTGAAATTCTACATAAGATCGATGAGGGGTTCATAGGATCCAAATCGTATGATTAAATTGAGAATCATAAGATTCTATAAAGCTATTAAAAAAAGTAACTCAAATTAACTTTCTAAATCAAATATTTCATAAAAGTAAAAAATGAGACTAAATAACCAATTCACACACTCCAGCAAAATTAATTAACATTAAAAGATACTAAGACACAAGATAAACACTTAAAATCAAATTGTTAATTTCAACAAAAAATCATAATAACAATCAAGTAAAATCTCATAGAATAAATTAAAGTAAAGCCTAGAAGATAGAGGAAAGTAGAATTGAGTTACCTAATTACCTGAACAGCTTAGTTGAAAATTTACTTTTTGATTAAAAAAAAAGGAACAAAATAGATATAGAAAGAATAACCAAAAAAAAAATGAAGTCTGTCTTTATTTTTGTTTCAGAATTGATAAAGAGTAGGTGAAAAAATAGAATTCTTTTTGTTCCTTGCACTAAAAAAGAAAGAAGAAAAGACAATCAAGAAGAATAAAACAAAATAGTTGAATTTTTTGAAATTTTGAACATACTTTTGAAATTCATAGTTGATCATCACACGTTGTTTCTTTGTTTTTTGTTTTTAAATTTTAATTTTTTAATATAATTAGGGTAAAGAGGACTTTATATTTTAAATGATAAAATTTATTAATCCAAAATTAATTTTTAATATAATTAGACTAAAGAGGACTTTATATTTTAAATGATAAAATTTATTAGTCCAAAATTAATTATAGATCCCAAATAAATTAGGAAGGAAAACAAAATGACCCGACTTGTTAAAATCGGTAAGATTCCAAGATCATATGCAATTCTACGATTTACTTCCGATTTTACAAATTTTGTTGAAATTCTACTTTTCAAAGATTTTAAGTGAAATTAAAATCGTCTTAGCAAATTAAAATCATAAAATCGTAAGATTTCAAGATTAAGAATCAAAATTTTAATAATAATTATATATATAAGAAAAGAAAGAAAAAAGTGTACCTAATATTTTTGCCAGCAACACTGATCCGAGGCTTCTCTCCGTCGCTACAACGTATGTTTTGGACTACAGAACATGTTTGGCAATATTTTAACAGACATGAATTCTCTGTTGACTTGATACAAGGACTTTTTAAATTAATGAGATGGATCATTTTTTTACTAGTGCGACGCCTTAAAAGAGCATTAATGGTCTGCAAGATTCTTATCAGAGTGCTCAAATCAGGGGCCCAGCTAATAAAAGACAACTCATCAAATGTTACAAATATCTCAAAAATGGACCATAAAACTTTTAATATATTCTCACTCTCCACTGTTTTATTTTAGTAAATGCAATGACTAAATTATTCTTTTAAACTATACAACTATGCTATTTTATAAGTGTAAGAAATTTTTAAAAATATAAAATAATTTTCATTAAACGCTACAAGAAAAGATGGCTCTAGCAGCAAAAATTAAAAAATGCTGTTAAAAAATCATTTTTAAATGCACTTTATAAAAAATGCCGCCAGAAGTAAAAAAAAATGCCGCGTCATTTTTCATTTTTATTATTTATTATTTATTTTTCTTTTTTCATTTTTCATCTTCCAATTTTCATTTTTCATTCCCCATTTTCTCTCTCTACCCCCAATCCTCTCTCTAGTTCGACTTAGACTCTCTCTCTACCCCAATCCTCTCTCGCCGCTCATCGCTTTCTCTCTCATCGCCCACTCCTTTCTCTCTCTAGCTCGACTCAAATTGGTCTCCTCGGTCCTCACTCCTCACTCTTCAATGAAGAGCATGATCTACCAAAATTATATTGCGAACACAGTCCCGGTTGTGCTATTTGAGCATATATTCTTTTGTGGTATTTGATTTGGGAGCCAAATCGACATCTGATTCGCCAAAACAGGCCAACAATCATCACTAAACCAAATTGTTGAGTTCATTAGTCTATCCACTTGCAGGTAAATTCCATCAATATTGCTTTGTTTTTGTTGGATTTCATGCTTTAATTGGGGATTTATGTTAATCTTATAAGAAACCCTAGCTTTCTAAGAGTTTGAAGCTAATTTTAGAACATTATTTCAAATTTTATCCATCTTGATGTATAATTTAATTCAAAATTATTGAGAATTTTGTTAAAATCTCTTTCCTTCTCCTTTTCTGTCGAACCAAATGAATGTAAGAGTCCAAAGTTTTATTTTCTTTTTTCTTTGTTCATTTTCCTCCTATTCCTGGGCGACCAAATTAATGGACCGCCGGTATCAGAGTCAGACGTCTTCATCTTTCATCTCCTTCCGTAAGAACTTAGGTATGATGTTTGGCCTCTCTCTCTGTACACATATATATAGCGATGTAATTCGCGCTTTTTACTATTGGAGGACTCTAGTAGATTAAGTCTATCTGATTTAATAGTGTTTCCTTTACAATTTTCACCTTCTGTAGTATGGTAGTATGCTCGATCTATTGTTGACATGTTTGTTTAGCTTTGCATCTGAAATCTTTATATACAAACTTTTGTTGTATATAATTTTGTATAAACTTGTGTGGCAAAAAAATCATTCATTCTTCTTCCTTTTTGTGACCAGCATTAGCATTGTTATATACTATTTATTTCAATAGGTGATTAAATGAGTCATCTCTGAATTCCGGATATGATTAATGAGTATATATATATATTTTTTATTATTTTTATACAATTTCAATAATTTTGAATTAGAGTATTTATTTAATATTTTAATGGTTAAAATAAAGAGTTAATAGAAGTACATAAAGAGTTAATAGAAGTACTTTTTATAACTAAATATACACACATATAGGAATCAATATTCAATATATATATATATATATATTTCATCCCACTTATTAAAAAGCAAAGCCATTTTCCTCCCCAAAAATTCCATGCCCTAATCCACAATATTCAGAAAAGAAAAGAAAAAATAAAAGTCCCATTTTTTGCGGAAGAGTTTTCTTAAATACAAAAATGAATTATGAATCACAATTCACTTTACTCCTTCGTGAAGTCTTTTCATATTTAATTAATAATTTCTTCTACTATATTAAAATTTCTTTTATCTATTTATTTACATTGTAAGATTTTTTATTCCTTTTATATACTTTTCACTATTTATATCTTGCAATTAATTATAGTTTCGTATGTTTATTGTTGACATTCCAAAGGACACAAGGCTTTGGGCAAAATTAAATTATAGTTATTAATATAATTGAGTGTATATATTTTTTATTATTTTTATATATTTTCAACAATTTTAAATTAAAACATTTTTTTTTTTAGATTAAAACAAATAGTTAATAAAAGTATTTTTATAACTATTAATATTCCTGGAATTAATATTTCGAAAAAAAAAAAAAAAAATCATCCCACTTTATGAAAAGTAAGGGTGGCAAATTACGACACGACACGACAACACGATACAAGTTAAAAGGGTTTTGGTTTGACATAAACGGGTTTGAGTCATAAAAGGGTGGACACGATTAATCCATTTACTTAAGCGTGCTGGGTTAGGGTTGAGGAGTTCATGACCCATTTAATTCAAGCTGTTATAATTGTGAATAAGACCTATATCATATGTTACTTGTTTAAATCCAAATATTATGGATAGTTAAGTCATTTCAACATAAACCTTATCTATATCTTTTTCTTTTTTTTTTTCTTTTTTTTGAATATTTGGATTAATTATGACAATTTTTTTATATTATTTAGTATTTGATTAAATACTACATATTGAATGTCTCGTTTTGATAAACAGTTTAAGGTTAACACGTTTATCCTATGTAATAAATGGGTTGAGTTAATGTTGAGAGTTATTGACACGATTATTAAATAGATTGAGTTTAAATTTACCTATTTAGTATAATACCCTTATATCGACACAATAAGATTATGACTCACGAACACGAATTGCTACTCCTAGTAAAAAGTAACTCATTTTCCTTTCCTAAAAATTTTATGCCCTAATTCACAATATTTGAAGAAGGAAAAAAAAATAATAAATAAATAAATGAAAGCAGTGTCGGTGACGGGATCCAATTGTACCTAAATTGAAGGGGTGGGCTCCAACATGCTTATGATTTTTGCAATGGGCTGGTGGTGGTGTTTGTTTGGATGCACTGCACGGAGAGTCCATTTCCACGGTACTAATACAATGACGAGCGCGAATCACCTGCTGTAATTATTCCTGCAGTCCTCTATTGTCCACTATCTTGTGGTGTTAGTTTGGCCACGTGTTTCTTCATAAAACAGACACTAAGTCCGTGTTTGGCAATTACACTACTATTTATAAGTAACATTTCACTATCATTTATAAGTAACATCACAGGAGT